TAAAATAATCCGAAAATCCATAGTACTTTCACAATATAGCAATGGTTTTCAAAAGTCATTTTAAACCAGGGTTTTGAATTTATATTATAGAAAATTGTAGATTTGGGAATTTATCATTTTTAATATTTTACACGAGAACGAACGCCAGCAGCCAACACCGTACCCCTTCTCGAGTACCTTCTCCCACTTAAGTTGATCATGCGTGGGACATTGGTAAATATTTTCGACCCGAGAACGAGAACATCGAGAGAGAAATTTTTAATTCAATTTCGAGCGATCGAAAGAATCAGTCGATAAGTCGAATACCAGCGCCACGAGCCAAAACCGTCTTTTTTACCGCAGTTAGTACAAAAAACCCGTTTTTATTTTTTTTGCCATTGCATCAAGTTCAGATAGGAAATAAAACCGAATTAAATTAGGTAGATTTAAACACCGTTTGAGATTACATTTTAACACGTAAATAATTTTGTTTGAAAATTCCGAAATTCAATAATAAAATTAACAGTCGAAGAATATTTTCTTGTTTGGATATTGGCCGTGTTTATTTTTTTTATTATCGTCTTCGAACGGTGAGGACTGCTTCCGATATAAATCAACTTTGTAAATAGAATTATTAAATAAGTAAATTGGGAAAAGATAGGAATTAGAGTGTTTATTTTCTTTTTTTTTATTTAGATAGACTTTTAAAAAAATAGATTTGTTGAATTCCTAACCGTGGGAAATACGGGAATTGAATATTGTTAATTTTTTTTATTGGTTTAGTTTGACTGTCCGGGATTTTGTTCTACCAAAGGGGAGGGTATCATTTCCTGTTTTGAATATAAAATCTCCGTTCCTTTATTTTTCCGTCCTGGCTATTCCCAAATAACTCAGTGAGGGCTTAAAGTTCCCTGTGTTATTTTCTTTCCTAGCTATCCGCAATTAACTCAGTGAGGGCTTTAAGTTCCCTGTGTTAGTTTTCCTTCCTGTCTATTCCCAAATAACTCAATGAGGGCTTAAAGTTCCCTGTGTTATTTTTCCTTCCTAGATATCCCTGTCCGACCTGGGGTTGTTATAATAATAAATAACAATAAGAGGTAGTGTGGGTTTGATTCAGCGTAGCTTGCTCGTTGGCTTCAGGGGTTTTAAAAACGAAACAAACATTTAGAAAGATTTCAAGTGGTCCTCACGAGTTGCAGAAGTGCCGCAGTTTAAATTTTTAAAATTCATACTATCCTTGATTTAAATTTTGATTTATTTCCGTAAATTTGGACTTTTTAAAATTCATACTATCCTTGATTTAAATTTTGATTTTTCTTTGTGATTTAAGAAAATTAACGTAAGTTTTGGAATTTTTAAAATTAATACTATCATTGATCAAAATTTTGATTTGCTTTGCGATTTAAGCAATTGCCGTAAATTTAAATTGTTGAATCCGTATTATCCATGATTTACATTTAGATTTTTTTTTGCGTTGCGATTTGAGAGTAATTGCCGTAAATTTAAAATTCCTACTACTTATCCGAGATTTAAATTTTAGTCTTTAGTCTGAGATATCCGAATACAATTTTTTTTTGCGCGACCCCTTCACCGTATCCAGTTTAAGCAGTCTGATTGAGAATACCTGCCAACTATATCAGCCGTTCGTTCCCGTTTTGTTTTGCTTCATTTTTTTTGTTCAGGGTTTCATAACCGAGGGTGGGCGTTGAAATATTTTATTTTTATTTTTTTTAACTGTATATAGTTAAATCAATATATGTGTCAACATTATCTTGACTATTACTGAGGTTACTAATCCCCAATTTACAACCAATTTACAATTTACAACCACAAGTAATGATTAAAGCCCATTGCTTGTGGCTACTAATTACCTGAGTCTAAGTGACCTTTGACCCCTGAAATTTTTCATCTCCATCTGTGCTGCCCGAGTACTTTCGACGCCGTTTTGAGAGTTTGTGGAGTAAACCATAACCAAAAATATGGCGCTTGAGAACCGTCCGTAACCAGCTCCATTCGTAAGGAACCGTTTTTTCTGAGGCGAGAAAACCCCTTACAAGACATTAAAGCCAAACTAATAGGTTCCACCTTTATTTAAATTTTTATATTTTTATTTACAATACAAAGATAAAACATCTCGTGAAAATGTTGTTAAAACATTAACCATTGTAACTTCCTATTGTAATTTGTAATACTCAATTTAATAAATGGAAGTAAGAAGCTCAAAGTCTGTCGACCACATAAATTTATTAGGTTGCAAGCGCTTTCGACCTAAAAGGTCATCATCAGGCAACATTTTTTTTTGTGAGTAGGTACAATCTGCAATAATAATTTAAGGTATAACAAAACGTTTTTTATAGAAATGCTAGGTGTCTTACCACTATGTGTCCACAGAAAAATAACTATCTTGAATTAAAATGTAAAATTTAAGTAAATTGTAAAAATTGTAAAAAATGGCACAGACTGCCTCCCTCATTCGAGGTTGGATCCAGTTCTAGTTTGAATTTCGCCTGCCTCCATCTGATGAAGGTGGTTTCGAATGAGATAAATTTTGAAGTTCCACATGTGTGCTTAAGGCACCATGTGGAAAGTGTTACTTTTGGGAAATGTGAAATACAGCTACTCCCCCTATCCCCAGTACGAAAGGGGTAGACGGAGTCCCGCTCGTGTACACCCTTAAGCCTAAGCTTAAGGGGTATCATTAAATATTCACTTTTTTAGAAAAATTCACTTATGACACTTTCGTCATCCAGCGGTGAAGTTAAATGAGAAAATGGTGGAGATTTACGACATTTGACAACTGACATATGATGGAAGACACGTAGTTACAATGATGGTTGAGCTAATAATAATTAAATTTGACATTAGTTAAATTGAATATGTTTTTAAAATATTATAATATAAATTTAAACAATTTGACTTTGGTGTCTTGACAGGATGTCCAAGACTTTGGAGAGGCCACAAATAAGCTCTGCTGGTGTTATGAAGTTAGAATGACATTTGATTTTTTTAAAAAGAAGAATTTGACATTACATTGAGGTTAAGGAAATTTATAATAAATATGAATTTTTTAAAAGGGGGCTATATATATATATATATATATATATATATATATATATATATATATATTATTACAAGTAAAAAGTTGAAGGATTTACAAAGGATTTAGGAAACTTGTGAGGATGATGGGATTCATTGTAGTTGTTGAATTGAAAATACTAGAAGGTTAATCTGGAAAAGATAGGCTTATATGTAGGTTGTAATTGATCATTTAAACAAACCACATCTGGGTTATTAATATGTTGATGAATGTAATACATTTCAAGTAAGTCCAGCTTAATGCCTTTGGATTGGATTGGATAAGAAGAGAGGCGTTATCTGGAAAAGTTATGTTTAGTATAGAGAACATGATTAGCAAATGTGGAATTGGTATCTGAAATATTCGAGGATTTATATCTGTTGATAGTTTTGTAATGTTCTAAAATTCGGGTTTCTGTCTTTCTTCCTGACTGGCCGACGTAGATGGCATTGCAATCATTACAATTTAATAGATATACCCCTGGTTTATGTAAAGTGGGTACAAGATCTTTATTCCGTACTAGAAGTGAGTAAAGTGAGTTGGTACTTTTAAAGGCTATGTTTATGTTGAATTTTCTGAATATTTTAGCTAGTTCATATGGCACACGGCCCAAGAAAGGAATATAACCAGAATAAACCTTAGGAACAATGGAATTAGAAGAATTAATTAAGATGGTGGGATAGGACAATCTAAATTTGTTGAAAAATCTGAAATACATTTTGTTAAGAAGCTCTAAGGGGAAACCATTGTTGATAGCAAGTTGTTCAATTAAATCTATCTCTTTATTAAAGTTTGATTCTGACAGAGGGATGGTGAAAGCTCTATGTAGAAAACTATTAAAGGAAGCTTTTTTGTGTGACAAAGGGTGGCATGAGTCGAATGGTATAAGGGTATCTGTAGTGGTAGGGTTTCTTATATATATCAAACTGTAATCTATTATTTATTGTGTCTTTGGTAATAAATAAATCTAGAAACGGTATAGTGTTGTTATTTTCAAATTCTACAGTGAAATTTATACGGGGATGTAAGGTATTTATGTAAGTAAAGAAGGAATCAAACTGTGCTAAGGAACCCTTAAAAAGCATAAGTATGTCGTCTACATATCGTTGGTAAAAGATTATTTTGTCAGAAAAGGGATTGTTTAGAATAAGTTTTTGTTCAATATTGTTCATGAATATATTTGCCAAGAAGGGGGAGAGGTTGGAGCCCATGGCTAAACCGGAGGATTGTCTATAGATTTTATCGTTGAGATCCCTAATAGGTAGCAAATATCTAGAACGACATGAGTTTCAATATTCTTTTCAAAGAGGAGATTCCTGACCAAAGTTATGACTTCTTCAGGGGGAATACTAGGAAAGAGATTAGAAACATCCAAGGAGAGTAAAATAGAATCTGGTGGTATGTGTATGTTTGAAATTTTTGAAGTTAGAACTAGTGAATTTTTTATCGCATGAGGGAGGCAGTCTGTGCCATTTTTTACAATTTTTACAATTTACTTAAATTTTACATTTTAATTCAACATACTTATTTTTCTGTGGACACATAGTGGTAAGACACCTAGAATTTCTATAAAAAACGTTTTGTTGTACCTTAAATTATTATTGCAGATTGTACCTACTAAAAAAAAAATTGCCTGATCTACTTCGGACCACTTTGAGATATGGATAATAGTTGGAACTCAATTTAATATTTAGATAACTCTTTCTTTCCACTTGAAATATTACCAAACACACTAACATTCAGTTAAATTCCGATCCAGGACCTGCCTGTAGAGTGCCCTGCGGCTGGAACCTTTTATCGTGCCGTAATTGTAAAAAAGAAAAATTATCTCTGACCGAAAGTGTATAAGGGAGAGTAAAAGCGTTTCATGCAGAAATCACATCAACAAAAGAAAAATGAAGTGAGTGGACGAAACAGGTCTAAAAAACTGAAATCATGCACTTACTGCTTCTATTCCTAGTATACTACCATGCAAGTTACCATATCGGACGAGTCTTAGTCCTCCAGCATTGGTGGATACATTTCCTCCTATGTGGCAAGACCCTTTTGCACCCAAGTCTAGCGGAATCATCAGCCCACTATCTCCAACGAAGGTTTCCAAATTTTCTAATATACATCCAGCTTGGCATACCAATACACCTTTAAACATAGAAAAATTATTATGACTCGTCTGAAATGGCAGAGACAAATTTTTGGCAAAATATTACCAATATTTTAAAGGGTACCTCAATTTAACGCTTCGATTTGATTTAATTTAATAATAAAACACTTTAAATATAATTTATGTTGCGGTAAAAAATTATATCCCTCTGCTTCTTTTGCATAATATTATTTTCCCAAAATTTTTTCAATTATACCACTAAACCTAAATTATTTTCAGAAATTTTTTCGTGGGATAATTTTCTTAAAATATTCGTGAGTAAGCACAAATTTCCCGAAAATAATTTAAACCCGTGTGGTATTCGGTAAGAAAATTTTACACCGGAATATCAAAATTTCAAAACTTAACAGAAATGCATTAATTATTTAACAAAGTCAATACTTTTCTGATTGAAAATAATTTTAACATCTTGTCTAATAACCCATTTAACATTTTAATGAGAAGAACTAAAGGATTTTCTAGCAGAATTCCAAGCCTCGCATTGATAAGGCCAGTTGTAAGTTTTATCAACACTCCAGTCTCAAAAATCACAACTTTCATTTGCAATCTAATTTACGATCTCATACAATTCAAACCAGCCAACTCGGTAAGAGTATAAAATTTTGTAATAGAATTAAAAATTTTAACATTCCTGACAACTGCATTATGGTTTTCTTTAACATCAGCAACCTGTACACCTCAGACCCAAGATTTGAGACCATGCCTTTGGTTCAGGAAGTCTTGAGAAATTCAAACGTTTCAGATAACAACACTAACATTATTTTACAATTCTGAAATCATTGCTTATCATAAAATTTCTTCACTTTCAACAATACTACTTATGAACAACCTAATGGTCTAGCTATGGAATGTGGCTTATCACCTCTAGTCGCTGATACCTTCATGAACCACTTAGAGACTAGTTATATAATCCCACAACAAAAACATTTTAATTTATCACAGATATGTCGATGATACCTTTTGTTTAATAGAAGGCGACGTTAATACAGCCTTAAGTATTCTTAATTCAATTAACACCATTCATCCCAATATAAAATTTACTCTTGAATAAAAAAAAAGAAAGTTGTTTGATCTTTTTATACTTTACTGTCCACAGACATGGTAACAAATTGGAACATAGAAAATCCACTCAAACGGACCAGGAAATTCACTTTTCTTCTCACCAACAAAAAGTGTCCTCTTTTTATTGTTACATTCACAGACTTCTATCAATACCTTTAAATAAACATAATTATTTTCAAGAACTAAAAAATATACTCAAACAAATTGGTTTTAACAACGGATACGATCAGGGCCGCCGAGAGTCATGGTGGGGCCGCGGGGCAAATACACTTGCAAGGGTTGGCAGATTTCGCCGAAAATAACAGGGCATTTTTATAAAAAATCAAGAAAAAAAGGCCTAAAGCTGCCGGGCCCTGCGGGTCTTTCCCCCTCTCCCCTCCTCTCGTCGGGCCTGGGTACGATCCTGATTTAATTCAAACCTTAACAAAATTAAAACAAAAAAAAAATTCAAAAACTATCTTATCCTAACATCACTCAAATCAATTAGTTTTCCCCTTCTGGGAAAATAACCTAGCCAAGAGCATTTCAAAAATGTTTGTTAATAATGTTAATAATGTCAATAACATTAAAGTTTCATTTAAATCAATCAACAAACTAGATGCTCATTTAGTCAACACAGATAAAACCAACATCTTGGATAACAGTGTACAGGTTGCAATGCAGTAATTGCAATACCAACTACATAGGCAGAACTTGCAGATCTTTGGGAGTTCGGATAAACGAACACATCAAAATTCCGGACAAATCTGTATTTGGACATCATCTGAGGTAAAACCAACATAATTTGAGCCCAACTAAAAACTCCAAATTATTAGTTAACTTGAACACAAAGCAACCTATGTATCAACACTCAAATCAATCTTAACACAAATTTCATACCACTCCATAGACAACTTAGTTAACCCTCAATGATGATAATCAGTCCGAATCGATCAAAATAAGCTCGTGTGAGCCATTTTTTCCTAAATTCGTGTTCACTCATCAGAGTCTAGAACCATGGGACTCTTTGATTTTGCTTTTTGTGATTTTTGTTCCTATTTTTGTCTCACTCTAACTATAAGTACGCTTGTTGAACGGCTTTGAACTTTTAAGATTAAACATCAGATTCACCTATAGGAACTGCGGGTTCTGTTGTGCCATGTTTGGCTCTTTGAAAAAAGTTCTGTAGAGCCCGGGCGGCACATCAGAATAACGTGATATTGTTGTTTTGCATTGACATTTAACCAAGAAACTTCTTTTATCTCTCAAAAATTTTGATTTAAATAAATAAAAGAAACATATTAAATAAAAATATTTAGAAACTTTAGCAAGGTGAGAGGCACCTAATTAATTTTATTCATAAAGATGACTGCCGAACTTTATGGATTTTTATTGTAACTTTAGGTATTTTTATTATTAATTTTTCAATCTTCCTCTACATACAAACCATGTATTCATCATATTATTCTCCCTATTTAAATTTTTAACTTGTTTTTAACTGTAAACAAAATACAGTTTGGACAATAATTAAAACTTAACCACTTATCTCTACACAAGCACATGCTTCCTTGAGGTTCGACTCAATGAAGAGTTTAGGGCATAATGATTGTCTCCAACACAGGACATACTCTATAATTTGTAAAAAAAATTAACTTTGTTATAGCAGAAGTAGAAGTTGGAAAGGCTTTTGCCAGTTCTCCCACTTTATACACAAATTGACAGGTTTGCGGCGCATCTTACTGAAGTGGACGCGATACATTGGGTTACAAAATTATTTTATAGATGTTAAAAACAATTTCGAGTAAATAGTTTAATAAATTCTGAATAACTGTTGAAATTTTGTAAAATTATGATTTGAATAATATAATACATGTTTAATAATTATTTATAGTCCACAAATACATGCGATTGTCCGGTTCCGCCGGTAACAATTTAAAATAACTTATTCTATGAAACGACACTGGCAGGTAAACATTACTGCGAAATTCTCGAAGTAGTCCGACGTGGTTTGACGTTTACAATCTCTCTACCAACCAAAAGCCTTTCCAACTTCTATTTGTGCTATAACGGTCTATTCAAAAAAATCTTTTTTAAAATTGTTTTGACTCTTATATATTTACACCCACAATTCTTTGTAGACGAGCACTGATGATAGCGTTATGCAGAAAGCGTTTTGCAATTTAAATAAATAAATAATTTTGCACGAAATACAAATCTTCTTTTGCTAATCTAAGCTACGTGCACACAGCTGTTAAACACATTTGGTTCTTTTAATGCATTAAAACGACTAAAATCAAATTTGCAAAGGTGGTCATGCCAACTATACATATTTGTCATATATGAAGTCGTTTAGTTGACGCGAAAAATCTAATTATTATTTTACTTAAAATAATTTAGTATATTTCTATCTAGTTATAATTAGTATTAAAAAAAATATATTAACCACTGAAATGGCAAATTTTTTAATCACACCATCGCGTCGAGTCGTACTATCGTGGGCATGAAAGAGCTTCTCAAATGTCAAAAAATTTTCAGTATAATTTTGTTCAAGGTACCCTCCAAAAGAAAATTTTCTGGTTGTCATGGAAAAGTTAGAAAAAAAACAGCATAAAATAGGCTATAAAATAGAGGTGTAAAATTTTTTAATAACATTTTCGCAGACATTCTGTCTAATTTATCCAATTGCTTGGATTAACTCGAAGTTGTTAGATTGTTTGAGGATTGTTACCGTAAACTCTTTCCTCCAAAAGGCCTCACACAAAATAATTCAGTTGTGTAAGATTAATGTTGTAACGGTACGAATCGTCGTGAGGCAATGTGTAATGCAGTAAGGTGTATTATGGATTGCGGTCTTGACGTTGTCAAAAACTCGGATATAAAAAAGCGACAGGTGTGTTGGAGGTCCATTTGGATTGTGAATTAATTAATTGCTGTGAGAAGGGTAATCTTTAACAGCTAAATAGGAATTGTACAGTAAATTAATTGTAATAAGTTGGAGAATTGTTGATTGGGCCGTTGAGCCACGTATTTTTGGTAAATTTCTTCAAGTTATACATATAAAGGGATTTTTTCCCTTTAACACCTGTTCGCATTCGATGTAAGAAAGACCCCAGTGATATTTGAGTAGTTTTCAATAGGAATTAGTGGGGTTATTTTTCCCCTCCCTTTTTTGTGCGGAGCCCCAATGCTCTCGCTGGTAACTGTTGTTTTCTGGGCTACTAAGAAAGTTCTGGAGCAGTATTTATCCCTGTGTCACAGTAACTACAGTGTGGAGTCACCATACACTTGGCTTATCGAGTGCAAAATAGCTGACGAGTAAGGCTGAGATTGGTCCATCAGTGGAGTTTAGTGAGTTCGCTCCCCGTGAACAGTGAGATATTTATGTAATACATTTTTGCCACGTTTGTTTGTTAACTATTTATTCAGAGATCACAGGGATTAGGTCCTGTTAATGTGTTAGATTCAGTATATACCATCGTGTTATTGGGTATATTTGTAATATTAGGTGTAATTTAATGGTCAGGTTGATGATAATATGTTGAATAATATATTCATTGAAATATCAAACTTAACGAGAGGGCCAACAAAGCTGTTTAGTTTTATTTAAGCCTATTTTGCCTAGTTGTATTTATTTGACCTTTATCCTGTGTAACAGCCAAATTTGGTATTTCGGTGGCTGCTTTTCAGCAGGGGGGTATTTGGTGACAAAATATACTGGCGCCCCTTTTAAGAACTTTTAATTATCGGACTAGACCACCTCCGACTAAAACTACCAGCGGTAGGACAATTGGAAACCATATGTAACGGGTTATGCGTTGGTTATTTGGTTATTTAAACCTTGTGTTTGATTATTTATGTGAAGCGGGGAGATTCTCATGTTACAACGTCAGCTCTTTAGCTTTGCAAAAAGATGTTGATATAATTTTGACTATGAGTTTGGAAAGCAAGTTATTTTTCAACTCAAATAAATGTAATGTAATAATGACTCATAGTCGATTAAAAGACCCAGTTATTTTTGTGTATAGAATGGCTGGGGTAAGTTTAGAACGTAACTTACGATAATGGCTTTTCTTTTTCTAATAATATAAAAAATATGATTACGTCAGCTTGCGCGACAACTACGAACTGCCTCTGAATTAAATCCAAACTGACACTTTAATAGAATTACAACGATGGAAAGGGCTTGCAAATCTAAGGGGGTTGCGACATAGTCTTCCATCTTAAACGCTATTTTTATTTGAAATTGTAGTATAAGCGTTTTATTTTTAAATAATATTTTCATTTTGTTCGACAAAAAATATGTAAATTTAATCCATTAATTATGATTTTACGTATTGTAGATAGATTACATCGTATGTCGCAACCCTTTAGATATAACAAACCTTAGCCTCGCGTTTCATTTGTTTGGAATACCTAACTAATGTACGCTCGACGATCGACGTGAATTTTTCCAAGGCTTACTTTAGAAACATTTGTTGTGTATCACTCCTTACTTACCTGATGTTTCATCTAGATTTATAATTTTGTTCATCTGACCGGTCCAGAGGACGACTTCATCAAAAACGGGAACAGATCCTCCTACCAAACCAGTATTACCTCCTTGTGGACACACTGCTATGCGGTTGTTATTGCAAAAAGCAAGTATTTTTGAGACTTCTTCGGTAGATTTGGGTTTGAGAATACATTGACTAAATCCTAAAAAATATTCATGTTTATAATAGTTGTTTAAAGTATAAGCGTTTATATGGGATCGATTTTAACACGTGAGCGAACGCTTTAATTGCCGAGACTATTTTTCAACGTTCATATTCTTATAAAATAAAAAATGACAGGGGTTACATTGCAGCTTAAGAGCGCTACTGAGAAGAGAGGTTCACATGCCAATACCATATGACTCGATGGCCATAGCTTAAGATCGTATTCTTTGGACAAGACCTTTATAGGAAGACCATGTTCAAAAAGAACAAGAGAACCACTATTCATGAGTAGGAACTAGTTGAAAAGAATAACGGGACTGATGACTGGGCATGTCCCAGTAAAGGCTAACCTGAACAAAATAGGCGTAGATAATGGAGATCTATTGTGTCGACTATGTCACAATGAACCCGAAACAGCCAAACACAAACTGTGCAACTGCAAGGAATTGTATCGTAAAAAACAGGCACTTTTTAGACAATCACAGGTTAATCCAAGAACCTATAGAATACCCCCTGTCAAGGACTTGTAAAAGGGACTAAGGTGATAGAGTGGGTATTATGATTTAATATGGGTGAAATACAATAGGTCACTATTAGGCTTTCGGAAACTAGTATATTAATAATAATCATAAATCGAGTATAATAAATTGCCTCATCACATTGTGAAGGTTCAACTTAACTTTTATCATATTACTAATGCAAATAATAAAAATAAGGGAGTATACATACACCATAGATCTCAGAAAGCCTAGATACAGCATCTAAAACAAATTTTGACCCCTTACATGCTGCGCGCCATGATAACTGAATTTTAAGGTGACTCTACTACAAGACAGGATTGGCGCAAGGTTACAGTAGAAGATATAGGAAAGGAGTAACTTTTCATGTGAAACTTTTTAAAAATATTTGTCTTGCTAATAAATACTTTTATATGGTTTATTGTATACCATAACAAAACATTTTTGGAATTAATGGTCGATAGATATAGAGAGACCATTAATAATTGTTTGAAATCACCGCCTAAAATATCACGTTTCGCGCATGCAATGGTCGACTGGAAAACACTGTTTCGGTCGAGTCGACCAGGAAAATTGTAAAAAACAATGGGCCCTCCTGGGCATTCTAAATTTAATCTCTCTTGATAATATTAAAATTTAGTTTGTAAAATAACATTCACACGCAATTAGGAAAATAATAAGTCTAATGAAATAAAAGAATCCAAAAATTGAAAATATACAGGGTGTTGCATTTAAAATAAGAAAGTTGGTATTGGCTACTGTTATATGACACACCCTGTATAAAAAGTTTTGTCAAACAAATGCGCAACTAAAAATACCAATCGACGTGTCCGAGCGTTTTTCCGAACACGCTCCCATTTATTTATTACCGAATTTATTCCATTTGGCTGTTCCACGCTGTATATTTAATAAAATCGACAAATAGTAAATAATAATACTTTAAGTCAGGAATCACGACTTAGTTAATTAAAACTCGCAATTACTACTAGAGGTAGTCTTCCCCCCTTCCCCGCGCTAAATTTTGTTAGCAACATCTACTCCCCCCGAGGGGTAAAATACCTCTTCTGTAATTGGCTTATTTAATCAGCGTTGCCAAGTTTGACAGCGCCAGAAGTGTTCTGTGAGCGCCAGTTCTGACACTTTCTGACACATGTCAATTTCTTATTTGTATTTTACGGAAAATATTATTATTTATAACGTTGTAAGGGTTGTAAATGTATATTTAAGATTTATTATCTCTAATAATATGGTGAAAACATGGTTTATGTGTAAAAGGCCTGTTGAAAATGCTTCTTCAAGATAATATCATAAGTAAGTACAGACACAACATAATTATCAGAGGCGGTGCATTAGGCAATTAAACTTTCTTATTTTCTTATCGAAAAATTAAAATTAAGAGCAAGTAAACTCCAGCTAAGTTCGTCTTCATCCGTCTCATAATGATTATAGTAAAGGTTAATTACTTATTATTATTTTAATATCACATCTTTGTAAAGTTTATTGTTATTTTTTTTAGGTTTCCTTTTCTTGATATGAAAAAGAAATACATGGTTCCAGAATATAGGAATTCAACAAGTGACCACCTGAATAACTTTTTATGCTAATGAACATTTTTATTACAGTCCTCAGGGAAGGAAAATATTAAAGAAAAATGCAATTTCGACGAAAGAAGTATAATAATCAATCCTGTCACTACTTCTACACCATATTCATCTGCTACTAAAATACTAAAACAGCAAGTAAGTAGAGAAACTTAAGTTTCTTTCAAAAAGAATGTTTAAGGAAAAAGGCATAGCTATTTTTTTGTTTGACACTTTTTTTTAACTAATCTAAAAGACTAATTTTGTGTATTGTTTAAATGTTCATTTTTTGTACTTAATTTGTTTTAGGTTTAAACAAAATGAATTTCTAAGATATGCATGGAATATCCCAAAAGAGCTAAGGAAGGTTTTAAAATTCTTAAGAAAAGTTTTCAGAGCCAAAAACATAAAATAGTCTTCCTGTCCAAAATATAAATAGGTATAAATATTTAGATATTATGAGTGATTTTTTATTCTATAAATAGAACATAATTTGCTTCTAAATCACTACCTAATGAACTATATTATATAGTACAAAACTAAACAAGAATATCACATTATTCATGTTTTTTTTTAATTTCCTTAAAAAACGTCCCAAAAAAATGTGAATATTTATTATTGGAGTTAACATCGTTATGCTAAAACAATACTAGAACAACTTAAATAATGTGGATTTTGACTATTTTGAGTTATGCAGATCATTATGATCTAAAAAAATGTTTGTCTGGTGCTATAGTCAGGTATAAAAACATTCATTTATTTAAACACAGTTGCAATATACATTTTATTTAGTTTATAAGTTAAAACCTATTAGGACATCCTAAAATGACTTTTTTCGTTTGATGTGAGATTAATTATTCTACATTTTTGTTGGTGAAATAGGATATATTAAGATGTCTTACTGTTTTCTCTGATTATTTAAAAAGTTAGAACAATATACAAAGACTGTTATAACAAAAAAGAGATATACCTTTACTTAAACACACAATTAGTCAGTTCAATTGTACGATAATTTAAAGAAGAAATCCAGAAAACTTTAAAAATGTGTTTAAATGTGTTTTTACTATAACAAGGACATAATTATAAAAAAAACTTGGCACATTAACATTGACGATAGGTTTTTATAATATATATTATAAAAATCACAACGAACTACACAAAATGACATTATTAATAATTTAGCAATAAAAAAGTTAAGTACAATGATGACATTAAAAGTTGAGTTTCTCGAAATACTTTTTTTAAATTGTCTCAGTAACTACCTAGTATTTTTCTAGCACAATGATATTATATGAATGTGCATTGTGTGATATCTTATATTTTAGGAATAAAATTATATATTTTTTTGCAGATTTCTGTTAACAACGATTCCAAGAACTTTTGAAAATATTATTAAAACGGCATTTACAAATATAATTCTCAATGAAGAGCTTTTGATCTAACATTAAATTTTTATTCTCCATAAGGTTATAGCTATGAAGTTCTATTATGAATTTTACTCTTTGATAACCTATGTTTAAATTTTTATTAGGACCAAAATAAATTATAATTTTCATTTCAACTACAAAAACCCTCATAATATTAAAAAGGGGAAAAACCTTAGATTAGTTATGTTCAGGAATAAACTCTTTAAACATTTATCTACCTAAAATGTGTTACTTTTAGAAGGTATGTTATTAACTTGATATTTGTACTTGTATTAATTTATTTCATTTTATTATCTGTTGTGTTTTCAAATTGATTTTGATATTAATCTTATCTATTTATATATTTTTTATACTCACATATATGTTTTTTTCATTGAAACAAACGTTTATTAGCTTATTAAATATAATGAATTCATGTTGTTTTATTATATGCTTGTATGAATGATTACTTTTATTTCCTTTTAAAAATTAATTTCGAAGATAAAGCCGAAACGGTGAGTGAGAATAAAAATTAGACGAAAGTGACGATATTTACTGGAGCTTTCATCTACACGCTCCTTTTTCTAGCCATCTACACCTGAGCCAGCAAGATTCGTCTTCCCTCCATCCTTATATTCTCCAGATTTACAGAGAAAACGCCGTCCTTTTTAACATATCCAGACCTTCTTTGACGGGGACTATACTACTACATTATTAGCTTTATTTGTTATCCCGAGCAATTTAAATGCATTCGTAATTGCTCATTCTCATCTCTTCTCTTGTAGATTCCGTACTCAGTTTTCTTATTTTTAGTTACGTTTGCACTGCTCTTTTATTTTCACAGCTTTAATTCTAAAATGCTGTAACGCTACAATATGGATCCATTTATGTGTTTTATACTATTTAATGTTATTCGTAAGTGACCAACCTATTATAATAATTAAAGATTATTGTATTACAGGCCTGAAGATGTTCCTGTAAGGCTGAAACTAGTCGCTCCTGTATTTATAATAAAATTTATTTTAAGGTTTTATTCTTCAATTGAAAAAATTAGACCTTTACAGTGATTTTGTTTCTTTTCCTGCATTAGACACATATAAGACGGTATTCATTTAAAAAATAGTAAAATTAGCAATTTTTTTAGTTATTTTTTTACAATTAAAACGTTTGGACAATGTGTGTTTATAGATAAATGATACGCCACTGAACAAGAAGGATGTTTACCTTCCCCCTTGTGCCCGCTTCCTCACTTCCTCTACAGATGTTGCTAACACAACAATCGCCTACAAACTCATTTTCACGCTCCCTCTATTAGTAATTGCTCGGAAAATTAAAACTGGCAAGCTATCTATGTCACAAAAGCGTTGAAATTAAAATGACAGTTCTCATTTTTTTGCGGAAACTACTTTGTCTTTTCTCTGTGGTTGTTCTTCTCTGATAACGATTTATATTGATGTTATGCTGTTATTTTAATCAATATTCTTGCTGTAAACC